AACTATTTCGAGATCGGTGGTCTTGTGTGCCAGTTACCCACGTTGAAAATCCCTTGGTAATCCTAAGATCAATAAGAGTAGGCTTCTGCCGCTACCGGACAAAATTCAAAATTAAATTATTCTTTCCAAAACTGAACATACTCTATCAAGTCAATATAAAAACATAGTATATATAGAGAGAATACCTTCGAAGTCGGAATGTAGCTGTCTAGCTGAAGGCAAAGATCCCCACAACTCAGTAGGAAAAACGGTCGTCACATTACAGAAAAATCAGTTGCGTGGCAAGTTGAAGAACTATAGCTGTTGACTACCCCTGAGAGCTAGCAGAGGGACGCAAAGAAGAAATAAACCCAAAAGTGTTGATGAGGGTGTAAAACTCACACACTTCTGCTACCGTGTACACTTACACTTACAGCAGGGTCATCTTCTGTTCTGAAGGTCCGATATATATTGGACCACAGAATGCACAGTGACTACTTTATTATATTTTAGTAATACCTTGTACAGTGTTATAATTGTTCAGGTTACACAGACCACAGTACCAGCATCTGCGTGGTAGTAGTCTGGTGTTTCTCTGTCGCACACACACAGGAGTCCCAAGTTCGATTCCCGGTTGGGTAATTTTTTAAGCGAGTATTTCGGTCTTTTCCCGGGATGTTGTACGGTCTCCCTCTCAGCCCGGGTTGACACTGACAAGCAGTAGGTATAATTTATTGCTAGAGGGTTGCTATTACGTGGTGCTCCGGACTCGGGATCCTAAATGAAATAAATTAAATTGTATCGATGGTAGCTAGTGTAAAAACGACTGGCCTCCACACCATCCGGACCTGAGTCCTCTGGACTTCCAATATTTGATGTGTTGGAAGAACAAGGAGTGTGTGGGAAAACTTTGACAGATTTGAAAGGAGGGCACGAATGAGATTTTCCCCTATCTCAGAATGGGCTTTTACTCGAAATTGGGGGGGTATGTTTTAGTTTAGTATGGGGTTTTACGGCGCTCGCAACTGCATAAAATTAGGGGTATGTGGAAGACACAACATATCTATGTTTGTAGCAGTCATATTTTATTGTAATCAATAATATTATAGTAAATCCAAAAGGATGTACCACATTTCTGTAAACTTTGGTTTTTTTAAACAGTACTTAACATAACGGCTTTATCGACTTTCCTTGGACGAACTTTTTCCTGGTCACCTGGATTTAGTAGGGGCCTACGTTTTTGGGGGCCTGGGTATTGAAATCTGTTTTTCCATTTCGGAAAATACGTAATCTGTTTTCCTGTTTCGCCCCCCCCCCTCTCTCCCCCGCACCCAGATTTGCCGATGCTGAAGAAAATTAATTAGGAAATTTGGTCAATTCCTTTGATGTACCTTGAAGACGCATCACTAATTTTTGGGCTTAGTTTTAATCACACTGCCGTGTCAATACAAACACCCGGCTCTCGTTTGTTCCAAAACAACCCTGCAGTCTACCATATTACTGAATAGACCATGTCTGCTTTTGAAGATAGGGAAAACTTACAATTAATGACATCAGCTCAGAGGGAGTGAGGGGGG